GGGGGGGGGGGGGGGGGGGGGCATATGATACTTTGAAAATAACATATTGATAACTTGATTGGAATTATAACCCTGAGTTGACTGTTTGAAACTTTGAAAAGTTTGAGCCAGCTCTACCCCCAAGGGCACCCAAAGGAGTCAGTGTGCTAAAATTTCTTCATTTTCCTTGTTTAGAATCAGAGGTGCTAGTTTCAAATACTTTTCAGTCTTAAATCTGTATGCTATATCATATTGAATAAGGTTGTTTTATAGTTTTTTGTCACTTTGAATAATACTTCTGTTCATGTTTTAAAAACAAAAATCAACTCTCTGTATAAATATATCAGAACTCGGGTGACCGTTATGGCCAATGGGCCTCTTGTTTTTCAAGCTATCAGGCTAAGAAAATTTAGTTGTATTCTTAAAATGTATATGAATTTAAAATGACAAGTTTCAGGTGAAATGTTACCTTTGCTTACTGTCAACAAGCCAAATCATAACTTTGGAAGTCAACAGCGATTCCTTTACTTACATCTGGACATGAAATGTGATTTGCAGAAAGTATTTAACAAGACAGCGTTGTATATCAAAATAGAGTTTAATCTACAATGTCATGATGTGATTGTCATCACTGATCAACAAAACCACTATTTCTCCAACTCTTAACAACATGGCAGTTGGTGGCCTTTCCATATTAAGAACCAAGATACACTTTTTTCTGACCTATAAATTCAGAAAAGACAAAACAAACCAGATAATTTTTCCTAATTTAAGATTAACATACAACTGTACATGTATACTTACATATGAGAGTAATTTCTATGAAATTCTAATCTACATGAGACTTATCGGTCACATTCACTGTGACATATTTTGTGGTGTCTAACATATACTTTTAGTGTCCTTTTTCTATCCTCAGAAACTAGATTGGGAGGTTGAACTGACCATTGTCATCGGCAAGGAGGCCAAGCGTGTTCCGGTGAGTCATCTATCCAAACAGGGTCAAGGTCATAATAGCTGGTTCAAGGTTACAACAATTAAACAGTCAAGTTCACATCAAGAGTCAAATTATAGAACAAATATTTAATCCATTAATATCACTCACTGCAAACAATATGTTTTAGCCTGATTATGGACTCATCCAGATCAATGCATGGTAGAGTTTACTAAAGTTGCTGAGGGATGAAAGGGTTCATGCTAATTTCAGGTTTCTTATAAGAATGAATATTTTTCAAGCTTTTTTTTCGGAAACATACATGTAGGGGATTTCAATTTTGAATATCAATTATATACATATTTGGGTTGAGAAAACAGAAATATAAAAGATGTCCCATTTAGTTACCAAAAGTGGTGATCCGGCTAGACTATTTCCTTTTTTTGTTAGTTTGACTCATAAATTTTCTATTGTACATTTAACTCATATATCCCTGAGGATATTCAAACCATTGATTTAGATTTATTCACTGAAAACAAAAATCGAAGACAGAATTTCACCTTAATTGGAAAATGGGAAAAACAAAGAACCAAACGTGATGGGAGAAAATCTGGAGATGAAATAGATTAAATTGTTAAAACTTAATAGTTAATTCTCACACGAATTTTGCTGAATTTGTGATTTATAGGAGTCTGAAGGTATGAACTACATATACGGCTACACAGTTGCTCACGATGTCAGCGCTCGGGACTGGCAGATAGAGGCTGGACGCAACGGTGGACAGTGGGTCATCGGGAAGGCCATGGACGATTTCTGTCCCCTTGGGCCTGTCATTGTCACCAGGAATGAAATTAACGGTAATTGATTTTTTTTACCAAATATGAGAGAAGAGAATGGAGAGTAGTGGTGCTGATGGAAAACTCCCATTTACGTTGTAAACTCTTTCACCCCTAAGTAACTAAACTAAACCCTACCATGCACTGATCTAGATGAGTCCATTATAGTCTACAGCGGTGAAAGGGTTGTATCAAGATATCAAAAAGATCAATAAAGACATCAAGATATGATGGGTTTTATTTTCCCTTTTTAAACTATCAACTGATGGTGGGCTAAAGAAACAAACTTCAAGAGGAGGTGGAAATCCTGCCAGCAATTTTAGCTAACTTTGCACACCCACTGACCCAGACCGTTGATCCATTCCTGAACGTGACAGACCCAGGAACAGACCTTCATGTAGTGTAGTAATTATAATGATATTGACACTAAACACAAATATTTACTCAACTAATAACAATACTAATGATATGTAGACTTTAGATATAAACAACCTATACTAGGTACACAGTACCGAGGAATATGTGATCAGGGAGATATATTGGAAATATATTATGGTATGGGGTTGTCCGTCCGGCGTAAACTTTTGTTTGTCCGGCAATCTTCTCCTACATTTTTCGACTGATCTCTTTGAAACTTTTTATACATTATAATCATGATATGAAGTTGTGTCTCCCTTAAAAGAATTTCGATTCGACAATTTTTCCAAAAGTTATTGCCCATTGTTCAAACCAATATTTGATTTTTTGTACGGAGATCTTAGCTCACCTGGTCCGAAGGACCAAGGTGAGCTTATGCCATACCGCAGCGTCCGTCGTCCGTCAACTTTACACTACTAGTCATGAACCACTGAGCAGATTTTAACAAAATTTGGTGTGGAGCATCCTTGGGTGAAGAAGAACAGGGGCCATGAGGGGCGGGGCCAAATAGGGGAAATACATGATGTGTATAGCAAATTTTTCTTTAAAATCCTTCTTCTTCTGTAGAAATGAAAGGATTTGTTCCATATTTGGTCAGAAGCATTCTTGGGGGAAGGGGGACAAAGTTTGTATAAATGGTGGGTCTAGCCCCCCTGGGGGCTGAGGGGCGGAGCCCAATAGGGGAAATATAGCAAATTCTTTAAAATCCTTCTTCTGTAGGAATGGAAGGATTTGGTCCATATTTGGTGTGGAGCATCCTTGTGTAGTGGGGAACAAATTTTGTATAAACCATGGGTCTGGCTCACCAGGGGCCTGAGGGGCGGGGCCCAATAGGGGAAACATAGCAAATTATTCTTTAAAATCTTTCTTCTTCTGTAGGAATGAAAGGATTTGGTCCATATTGGGTCAGAAGCATCCTTGGGGGAAGGGGAACAAAGTTTGTATAAACCGTGGATCTAGCCCCGCAGGTGCCTGAGGGGCGGTGCCCAATAGAGGAAATATAGCAAATTCTTTAAAATCCTTCTTCTTCTGTAGGAATAGAAAAATTGTTCCATATTTGGTCTGAAGCATTCTTGGGTGAAGGGGAACCAATTTTGTATACACCGTGGATCTGGCGCCCCAGGTGCCTGAGCGGTGGGGCCCAATAGGGGAAACATAGCAAATTATTCTTTAAAATGCTTCTTCTTCTGTAGGAATGAAAGGATTTGGTCCATATTTGGTGTGGAGTATCCTTGGGTAGTGGGGAACCAATTTTGTATAAACCGTGGGTCTGGCCCCCTAGGGGCCTCAGGGGCGGGGCCAAATAGGGGAAACATAGCAAATTATTCTTTAAAATCCTTCTCCTTCTGTAGGAATGAAAGGATTTGGTTCATATTTGGTGTGTAGCATCCTTGGGTAAAGGGGAACCTATGTTGTATAAACGGTGGGTCTGGCCTTTCTGGGGGCTGAGGGGCGGGGCCCAATAGGGGAAATATAGCAAATTCTTCAAAATCCTTCTTCTTCTGTAGGAATGACAGGATTTTGTCCAAATTTGGTATTAAGCAGCCTTGGGTAAAGGGGAAACAATTTTGTATAAACGGTGTGTCTGACCCCCCCGTGGAGGCAGAGAGGCGGGGCCCAATAGGGAAAATGGAGGTAAAACCTTTAAAATCCTTCTTCTACCATAGAGATTAAGGGATTTTATCCTAATTTAGTCTGGAGCATCAATGGGCCAAGTGGAATCAATTTTGTATAAGCAGTGGGTGTGGTCTCCCAGGGGGCAGAAGTGCGGGGCCCAATTGGATAAATAGAGGTAAAACCTTTAAAATCCTTTTTTGACCATTGGGATTATGGGATTTTATCCTTATTTAGTCTGGAGCATCCTTGCATCTAGGGGACTCTATTTTGTATAATTTGTTGGTATGACCCCCGTCCTAGGTTGCATAGGGGTGGGGGTCTGTTTGAAGTTTGTTCTCGCTATATCTCAAGTACTGGATGGATTTTTCTGAAATTTCATATGTATTTACAGCATTAACTTCATACCAATTATTTTAAACATATTCAGGTGACCGATACAGGCCCTGTGGGCCTCTTGTTTATAGCATGTCAGCTAACCACTCTTAAAATGATGCAGATCTTATTTCAATATATAACACTATGGCATTTGACGGGTGTATATTGTTCCGCCCGGCGGTACTCTTGTGAGAAGCATTTAAGTATATTGTATGGATGTATAAAATGAGATAAAGAGTTAGTCTGTAGTTTGTGATGCAACGTTTTACTATCAGAACTGTACATGTATGACCAGTATAGCCGTCCCATTGTCTATTTTCTATGATATAGCCGTTAAGAGAGATCAATATATCAGTTTTACACTCAGTATCAAAGACTGACATAATATCCTCTAGCCAGACAATGGGGCTATGGTTCGACCCCTACATGTAAACTTTGTAAAAATATCACGATAAAAGCAGGTTTTATTGTTACTCTAATAAACAATAGTCAGTATGAAAGTCAACAGGACTAATATTAGCTTGGTCCAACTATCATCAATGTTGTTCATGAACACCACAGGATTGTTGTAGAGATCAGAACCTAGTTAAGTTTCCCGTATTATATAGATATTAGTCATGATATGTTTTTATATGTTGAGTTATGATGTTGGTGTCTGTTAATTACAGATCCTCACAACCTGGCCCTGCAGTGTTTGGTCAACGGTGTGGTGAAACAGGATAGCAATACAAACCAGCTCGTCCACAAATCTGCCGCAATCGTGTCTTTTATTACTAGGTAAGATGTGCTAAGAGGCCAATTTCTAGTCGCTTTTGAAACTTCAATAAATAGTGAAAAACGTATTATACAACTAAATATGATTCTGTACGTAGTTCTCATATATTCAGGGACCTGTCTGTTAATGCGGAACAACCAGTACATCCATTTTTAAACATAACATTTTCGGGTATAAATCCCGCCGGACCTGCAAAAGTTTAAGCAGGCCTTGACGGGCTTTGTCAAGACTTGCCTGAAAACAGCATCAGATCACTGGGTCCGACCTTATTTCATAAATGAACAACTCTGGTCCAACTGGTGCAACCGTTTGGATCACAATAAACGAAAACAGCCCTGGTTTCTCCATATGCCCTGTTGCAGGGTCTAGAGTCACATTACCTTGGTAGATTTTAAGCCAGAACAACAAAAAGCACATGGGAAACTTTAAGAATCTTGTGATTGAGTGTTTTTCAGGCAGACGACTGTCCTGACTGGGCAGTCTTCTTGTCAGACCAATGACTGTCTCTTAGGTCCATACACCAAAGGTCAAAGGTCAAATAGTTGTAATACATTACTAGGAAAACAGCTTCTGAATATCTCGAATTTATTCATGAAACCTAACAGGAGGATGTACATGTATATAACTGCTAGATATATACTTATTGTTCATGATCTATATCTCAGTCAGTTAGCTTTCACGTTTCTATCAACTTGGAACAGGTTCATGACCTTGAAACCCGGTGACCTGATCTTGACTGGAACGCCCCCTGGTGTCGGAGTATTTAGGAAACCACCAGAGTTTCTTAAGGTAATCTTTTACTGTAAGGTTGATTACTTTCCATGCCTTATAATATACAATAGTTTTCTGAATAGATTAGATCTGTTTAAGGTGAATATGTTTTTGTTATAATAGCTCTCCACAGCTAACATATGTGTTCATAAATGAGTTAAGTATATTTGTTTTATTTCTTTTAATCCGTTAATTATTGTTTTTCAGAAAGGCGATGTTGTTGAGTGCAAAATTGAGGGGATTGGAAGTGTCATCAACAAGGTTATTTAGCTCGACAAGTAACTATGTAACAAAATCATTAACTCTCTCTCTACTTGTCAAGATCAGAAAAATTCCTTGTTATTACAAATTTGTATGTGTTTAATGTGATACTCTAAAAAAAAAATCTGAAGCAAGTTGTTGAATTAATTGAACTGCACTTTTCACGCAAATATATTTACTGCTGTATTTTCACTCTTTACTTCTAGTCAACATGAATGACTTACCCTTATTGAAAATAACCAGTTCAGCATGGAGTGTTGGATCACGGACTAATTCCTGGGTTGGATCACGGTCTAATTCCGTGGTTGGATCACGGACTAATTCCGTGGTTGGATCACGGACTAATTATGTGGTTGGATCACGGACTAATTCTGTGGTTGGATCACGGACTAATTCCGTGGTTGGATCACAGACTAATTCTGTGGTTGGATCACGGACTAATTCTGTGGTTAAATCACGGACTAATTCTGTGGTTGGATCATGGACTAATTCCGTGGTTGGATTACAGATTAATTCCGTGGTTGGATCACAGACCAATTCTGTGGTTGGATCACGGACTAATTCTGTGGTTAGATCACGGACTAACTCTGTGGTTGGATCACGGAGTAATTCCGTGGTTGGATCACGGACTAATTCCGCGGTTGGATCACAGACTAATTCCGTGGATGGATCACGGACTAATTCTGTGGTTAGATCACGGACTAACTCTGTGGTTGGATCACGGAGTAATTCTGTGGTTGGATCATGGACTAATTCCGTGGTTGGATCACGGACCAATTCTGTGGTTGGATCACGGACGAATTCTGTGGTTAAATCACGGACTAATTCTGTGGGTGGATCATGGACTAATTCCGTGGTTGGATCACGGACTAATTCTGTGGTTGGATCATGGACTAATTCTGTGGTTGGATCACGGATTAATTCCGGGGTTGGATCAATTCAGCATTTTATTGCCTAGAGCAACCTGTCCATTAAGATTGGTACAATTGTGTATTCGGTTCCTTATAAAAGCAAACAAGGAGGCAAGTTGGTGAATTCTTGTTAAGTGTATTTGACTTCCATTGTATGGAGAGAGCAGCTGTCACATTACTCACGTAGACTAGTAATGATATATTTATATACACCTAATTGAATGAAATTTGATAATCAATTCATACTCAAGATGCCATATTTTTTTGTAATATCCAAGAATTTAAACTAATATAATTTTGTGTTGATCATGTATTATGTAATACATTTGTAACTCATCAAAAGATGGTCAATGATTAAGTTTCTTTTTCTTTACTTTTTCGTCATTATTTTTGTATCTGATTTAGTATCATTATGTGAAGTGTGTATGATTTTGAAGTATGGAATGTAATAAGGGAAAATTAAATACTGCATTTATTAAGAAAGAAAGATTGGTATTAATCATTGTGGATTAATGTGCATTTGGTTTACAAAGGATAGTCTGGTATTAGCCGTATTTCTGTATGATGATGTACTCGATCTCTAGGTACATTATTGAAATGGTTGTTAAGTGTTAATGAGGAGACAAAGAGACAAACAGATTAATTGTGTTCAAGCCTTACATACCCGGTATACATGTACAGTTATTATAGCTTTGTATGTCAACTTGTCATATCAATGTTTATGAATATTTCTGCAATAAAAAAACTGTTCAAATATAGACTTAATGTCTATATAGATATATACCTGATATTGTTTTGTTTCTCCTCCCCAAAAGAGTTCCTTTAAGAGAAACGGATTCCAGTTTTAGGTGTTTAGATCAAGTTTTGGCATTTTTACCGAAAGTTGATATAAACCCCTAAACCCCTAAAACTTGTAGACTTACTGTGAACACCTTAGTTTAGGTCCAAATGTATAGCTGTAACTTGCTGGTTATTAAATTTGAGGAAGATAACTCTGATGCCACACATCGTTAAATTATGTATCTTCAAAAGCAAACGTGTGTAATTTAGATTTCACTTAACTAACTTGTCAACTAAGTTGACCATGTATTGAGGATAATTCCTAATCCTGTGTAAAAATTTGCTTGTAAAGTCGAGGTGGACATCGTGTAGGGTGATACCATGGCTAAGTAACTGACCATGTTCTCAATGAACAGGATGAATGAGGATACGGTACAGAATTTGATATTGCACAAATTGTGCCAAAAATCAACCAGAATACTTAAATGTCAGGAAAATACGTAATTCAATCTCAAAATCGGTAAAACTATGGCAAAATGTCAACAAAGGAAAGATTTACATGCAGACTCTTGAAACTCGCCACTGAGATTTAGGTCAAATTGAAATTATCAAAAACACCAAACTTGACATCACAACAAGAAATCACATATTTTCCAATGAAATACTGGTAGCTACCATAAAACTTGTTCATAGTTTTTGTCAGTAGTCATCATCTATCACGAAAATCATTATATACGAGGGAAGGAAGCGCTTGACCACTGAATCAACTGTAACCTGCTAACACCTTCGGTTGGGAAAGTAGGGGTGTTACTCTCATGAAAAAGAAAGTTCACGATCGAAAAAATCAAAATCCCACAGCATAGTATAGTAAGCCATCAGTGTTGATCATGTGCGTAACGATCGAGGACTGTGGCTGAAGTGCAGGTAGTATTTGTAGGTTGCCTATGTCAGTCATGTTGAAGTTAAAATGAACCATATCTTTACTGATGTTTGGATTTTAAGTTGTATAAGAATATTATCGAAATGAAAAATCAATACTTATCCAATCGAGGTAACACTATGCCAGTTTATTTTATCTTCTATATACAAGTCTGAGAATACTTTGAGTCGAAAAACAGCTTTTGAAGAAGAATACTTCTATACAATTACATGTATATCTGGAGCACTGTTAGGTTCAACTTGATGTTCTTGAACCTGAAGTCCTACAGGCGGTGACATGGACATCTTCCATTAATCTTTAACTATATGTATATCTTGATGGAAGGAATTTCTTTCCGGAAGTATAATTAAGTTTTGAAAAAGTTTCACTGGAAAATTACCACTGCCATCTTCATTTATGATTTCATCTTTTATCACCGAGAACGCCAAATAACAAGTGAAATTCTCGTGGTAAATTCTGAGTGTTACAAATTGGACTTATCTAAGGTTTTTGTGTCGTTTTATACTTATCATCGGTATGATTGATTTTTTTCTAACTGATTAAAACAAACACATACTACAAGCTAACGGCTAGGTTGACAGGTGTACACGTTATGTAGGGATGGTTACCTAACATGAAGCCATTGAAGTTAAATGGTACAGTATATGCGTATATTCCGCTTTACGGCGACTGGTCTGAATTATTAAAGCATGGGATCACTGTCAATTTATTATCCCAATTCCGTAGTTTTAATGTAAATTTAAAATGGAAAATGTATGTATGTACAAGCTGTCTGTGTTTAATTGAGAATTGATCGAGTTTGCCAGGATGATTTCAATGAGAACATCTCAAAGTGTGTATTATCTGTGAAGTGTTTTATCAACACAGAAGCACGATGTTCACATTGATGTTTACTATAATCACATGTACTCTGTTATATGTGGCAAATTTTATCATAAATAGGGACAGATTTTTTAATCAATAAACATGTCTCTGCTAATAATCCTTCGATTTGTAACCATTCTGATTCATGCCTTTGTAAAATAACAAGGCAATGCTTATATTGACTCAGACTATCGATTCTTCCATAAAATATCAAATTAGAAATTAGAGTCGAGCCAATGAATAAAAACATACTGTATCCATTAGTAGGTTATCAAGCTTTACTGTTATCCATTAGTAGGTTATCGAGCTTTACTGTTATCCATTAGTAGGTTATCAAGCTTTGCTGTTATCCATTAGTAGGTAATCGAGCTTTACTGTTATCCATTAGTAGGTTATCAAGCTTTACTGTTATCCATTAGTAGGTTATAAAGCTTAACTGTTATCCATTAGTAGGTTATCAAGCTTAACTGCTATTGATTAGTAGGTTATCAAGCTTTACTGATATCCATTAGTAGGTTATCAAGCTTTACAGTTATTCATTAGTAGGTTATGAAGCTTTACTGTTATCCATTAGTGGGTTATCAAGCTTTACTGTTATCCATTAGTAGGTTATCAAGCTTTACAGTTATCCATTAGTAGGTTATGAAGCTTTACTGTTATCCATTAGTAGGTTATCAAGCTTTACTGTTATTCATAAGTAGGTTATTAAGCTTTACTGTTATTCATTAGTAGGTTATCAAGCTTTACTGTTATCCATTAGTAGGTTATCAAGCTTTACTGTTATCCATTAGTAGGTTATCAAGCTTTACTGTTATCCATTAGTAGGTTATCAAGCTTTACTGTTATCCATTAGTAGGTTATCAAGCTTTACTGTTATCCATTAGTAGGTTATCAAGCTTTACTGTTATCCATTAGTAGGTTATCAAGCTTTACTGTTATCCATTAGTAGGTTATCAAGCTTTACTGTTATCCATTAGTAGGTTATCAAGCTTAACTGTTATCCATTAGTAGGTTATCAAGCTTTACTGCTATTGATTAGTAGGTTATCAAGCTTTACTGTTATCCATTAGTATGTTATCAAGCTTTACTGTTATCCATTAGTAGGTTATCAAGTATTACTGCTATGATTAGTAGGTTATCAAGCTTTACTGCTATGATTAGTAGGTTATCAAGCTTTACTGTTATCCATTAGTAGGTTATCAAGCTTTACTGTTATCCATTAGTAGGTTATC